TATATATATATATATATATATATATATATATATATATATATATATATATGAGGAAGACATCGAATGCAAGTATTTTGCCTGCAGTCAATGCCTACAATAATTTATTCGGCTAATGATGGTTAGGTTGAGTGGCAGTGGAAGATTGCTGTGTGTGTGTTTTGCCTGAAGAGAATTAAAACTTTCAGAAGACTTGGAGCCATCAAGCTCTGTACATTGTTGTCCGAGTAGCTGCATGATCTTACTATTATTAATCATCTTTCTCCGACATATAGCCTCCTGTAGATTGGAATACACAAATGTAGTATCATGTTTCAAATTAGGCTCTGATCTTGCATTGAGAAGCATATGCACCTACGTAGAGCCCCAAGCATGCCTTAATGTAAGATCAGGGCATTGTACTGTAGGCAACTTGGAACAGAGATAGCGTCTTCTTAAGAGTTTGTTCAGCACTTTGCACAATTTGGCCAGGATCCTGATTGAAGCCTTTGGCCACTGCTGGAATACAAATAATAACTTTCAGAACTCCAGGTGAATCTTCCTTTTTAAAGAACTGCGTTAATCACTGAGCTCAAAGGCTAAGGAATGAAAGTGTTGACTCAGTGAGCAAACGGAGCAGAATACAAGAGGGTAGATTTTGCTAACAGTGCATTAACTGTTCACTTCTCCGTTCATGCATGAGGTTTTACCAATTAATATGGGTGAAAGTAAGATGACCTAAGATGTTGGACAACTTGACAGATATCCTGTCAGTCCCGAAGCTCTAGAAAGTCCCTGTGCTTACCCTAGCTATCTTGCTGAATTGGAACCCACAATTGACAACACAAGATGATTTGGGTACATTCAGGCTCACCCACCTCAGTGACTCTAGATTAAGATTGATTTCAGTTTGCTGCAAATTGTGGAATTCAGTTTTAACTCTGTTTTCATTTGGTCCCTGTTGGAAAGGTTTATAGTAGATTGTTACCAAATGTGTCCTTTAGTAACTGTAACCTTCAAATAATTGCCACTCAAGAAAAGACTGCATATAAACAGATTGAAAAGTGTATGGATGCATGCACTGAACTTTGAATAGGTTTATTTCTATCCCGAGGTGATGTGTGGATTTTCAGTTATGAGTCTGATTCACGTACAAAGGGGAATAAAGGGAATGTAACTAATACAGTATAAATATGTGAAATCCTGCACCCTTCCATATATTCTGTATTGTGCAAATAATAAAAGGAATGTAACCATCCCTTGCATCAAAATGAGCATGTCTAACAATAGTCTGTCAGGTTGTTAACTTGCATAAATCAAGTAACTTAATTATCACTGTCCATCAAAAACCTATTCACTAGTAAAATGCCTCATATGGATACACTTACAAGCTAACTATTCAAGCCTGTATGGAAGAATTATTAATTCAGCTCTGGTCTGTACATTCCCTTCTCTCCAAGTCATTGCTATTGGCATGTCATTTAAGCTGCTAATTAAGGTGATAAACTATGTTAAGAGAAAGGAAAAGCGAGACTGGACCAAAGTACTGAAGCCCTGTCCACATCCTTTAATTGCTAATAGTTAATTTGGCAAATATTCACCTGAAAAAAGCAATGATAATAACAAAAACAACAAGGAGTCAGGTGGCACTTTAAAGACTAACAGATTTATTTGGGCATAAGCTTTTGTGGGTAAAAATCCACTTCTTCAGATGCATGGAGTGAAAATTACAAATGCAGGCATTATTATACTGACACATGAAGAGAAAGAAGTTACCTCACAAGTGGAGAAACAGTATGCCAATACTGGAATGGGTTACCAGCACTGGAATGGGTTACCTAGGAAGGTGGTGGAATCTCCTTCCTTAGAGGTTTTTAAGGTCAGGCTTGACAAAGCCCTGGCTGGCATGATTTAGTTGGGAATTGGTCCTGCTCTGAGCAGGGGGTTGGACTAGATGACCTCCTGAGGTCCCTTCCAACCCTGATATTCTATGAATACAATCAGGGTGGATGTGGTTCACTCCCAATAATTGATGAGGAGCTGTCAATTCCAGGAGAGGAAAAGTTGCTTCTGTAATGAGCCAGCCACTCCCAGTCCCTATTCATGCCCAAATTAATGGTGTTAAATTTGCAAATTAATTTTAGTTCTGCAGTTTCTCTTTGAGGTTTCTTTCTGAAGTTTGTTTTTGTTCAAGTATGGCCAGGAGCGGCACCAGGGTTTTTGCCGCCCTAGGCGGGGGTCCTTACGCACTCCCGGTCTTCAGCGACAATTCTGTGGCGGGGGGTCCTTCCGCACTCCCGGTCTTTGGGGCACTTCGGCGGCGGGTCCCGGAGCGCGGAAGGACCCCCCGCCGTAGAATTGCCGCCTCCCAAATCCTGCTGCCCTAGGCGACCACCTTGGTCGCCTAAATGGAAGCGCCGGCCCAGAGTATGGCTACTTTTAAATCTGTTATAGAATGTCCAGGAAGATTGAAGTGGTCTCCTTCTGGCTTTTGTATGTTAATAATGATAATAACCAGTAACATAATCTTGCTGATATTTATTACATTAAAAATAACGTGAACTCTCATGTTGCAAAATCAAGCATTGCAATTAGGATGGAGTATCACGGTTGTGTGCTGTTCACCCCAATAGTGAAATTATCATGCATTATCTGCCCCTGTGTTTCTAAAGAGCTGTAACATGTATTAGCAGAATAATTAGCTGTGGTTTTATTGGTAGTGTGGTGGTGTTATCCGATGTCTGGCCTAGACTTGGTGTGTGATGTTGGACAAGTCACCTGGCTTTGCTTCAGTTTCCCCCCTGGTAAAATTGTGAGAATTATGGCTACCCACCTTGCCAGCGTGTTGTGGTAGTTGAAGTAAACAGCAAAGAGAAACTACTGCTCTTCTATGATGCCTGCAAATGGCTTCCATGTTTTAATAAAAAATGTTTTGTTTTTAACATTAGAAATTTCAGATTCTGGCTTCTCTTTATTGGAAGTCTTGTCAATCTTTGAAAGATCTAAATGACTGCTTAATTCTTCAACAACTTTCCTCTCTCTAATGGCCCTGGGAGATTTCCAACTCAAGTTTCGTCACTGAGCAATGACATCACCATTTTGGTCCTCTGAAGGCTGTCGGACTTGTCCAGCAAAAAGAGGGAGGTCAGGACCGGATATTTGTAATGTATTTAAAAATAATCCAAACCAACCAAGCAGGGAGGGGAAACCCTCTTGAAAACAAAAACAAATAGAGGCATCTGCTAAAGAAGGAATGAGAGAGAGAGAGAGAGAGAGAGAGAGAGAAGCTAATTTATTTAGTTGGTCTTTTATTACTTTAA